CGGTTTTGATCCAACATATGAACTCCCTGCCAGGCAAAGACAGACAGTCATGTTGCGACATGTGAAGCCGACACGCCCAGGCCAGCATCTGCAGCAACAGATGACACGCCCAGGCCAGCATCAGCAGCATCAGAGGAGGCCTGTTTTTCCTTTGGATGCCTAAAAAGCCACTTACCCAAAAGGACCGAAATCTGGCCCAAAACAGGCCTCTTTGGCAACGGGGTTCTGTCCAGCTCCAGATGGGGGATAGCCGAAAAAACCCACCAATCCTGACCACACCCCCCCCCCCCGAAAACCCCCAAGCTCACTCCGTGAGGTAATGAACGAAGCTCCCTCACGAGGAGCTTTCGTGACTAGCGAGTAGTTTCCAAATCCTAGCAGTCCCTAACAAGCTGATGGAACCAGGAACTTCTGCTGTCAAACAAGAAAAGTTTGTCAACCTGTTGGCTGTGCTAGACAGGCTGCATACTGGACAATGGCACCGGAAGAGCGTTCCAGTTTCTTCCTCAACAGATCACGACCCTCCGCACAAAGTCTGTCTGGGTGTTGCAACTGCCGTGCGGTGCCGCGTAGCTCCTCGTGCCACCCTGCTTGCCCAGAGCATACGAAATCTCGCCCTCATCTCGAAACGTCATGGTGTCCTGTTCATATTGCAGGATAAGAGTCACAAGAGGTGACAGCATTCTGTCACTAAACTGCGCATCACGAAACGTCAGCATAGAAGCAATTGAAAGCAGGTGCTAATGAAGTCGAAGCACCGTTCCCCAAGTGGCCGTTGGATCCTTTAGGGGAATTGCAAGGTGAAGCAGCTTCTCGGACATGAAAGAGCACAAACAGAGAATGCAGCACTGTGCCAAGCAAGTCAAGATTAGGCGAAAACACTTCGTAGCCTGTCCGCATGACAGTAACAAGCTCGAAAACCGGGCAATGGCAACAGCCGTTGCAGGCCCAGCCGACCTTGTACTTGTCACGGCTGATGATCTTGGCCCGGCGGGTACAGACGCATGGGACTTTTTGGACCGTCACTGTACAGCTCGAGTTTGTTTAGAAAGGCATGCTGGGTAGCACAACACCACGGCCTGGCCCAACCAAAAAATAACATCGGGCGAGCCACCATCTCGCGAACCGAGGCAAAGTAGCCAGACATTTTCGTTTCGACAGCGCTGAGCACTTTCAGTTCTGAGCCGCGTCGACCGCGGATGCTACCTGGACCGCATTTGCACACAAAGCTTGACAACATCCTTCGACCTACTACTGGCTCTGGCAATGCTACTTGACCTAAGCGTTAGAAGAATGTTCTATAGGCTCCCGGAGAAGGCGGCAAAGCTGAGCACCCGCTGCCATGGCACCGAAAATGGCCAGGCGCTGGGCTTTCGAGAGATCCGTGTCGATGAAGACCTCTCTGTATAAACCCCTCCCGGCTGATGCCCAGGCCCAAGCATCGAAGACCCGCTCTCACATGTCAGGGCTTGGGCTGTTTTGTATTTGGCTGACGAGGAACCATGAGGGTACCCCATTCCTCCTCAATGCTGCGCAGCACACTGCCGCCTTGACCCTGGACGTAGCCCACCTGGATGCAGCAAGCACCACCTAGATCTCTACTACGGCTGGTCTGGCGCAATCGCGTTCCCTCAGTGAGCCACAACATCTGGAGGAACGCTCAGGACGGTGAGATCACCGTCCTCAAAGTCATCAGTGATGACATTTGGGCCTCAGATGGCTCAGGGGAAACAGAAAACCTTACGAAGAAGAGAACACCTTCAGGTGCACCTGAGGCGCTCGAAGAGCTCAATGATGTTAACTACTGATCGCAGGGAGATCATGTTCTACGAACTGCACGCACCCATCATGGCCTGACCGGGTGCAAACAACATTATCGCACATGCAAGGGGATGTCTCTAACGTGCTATCCCAGAGATGCATGTACGAAAATATGCTATGGAAAGTTGCATGTGCGAACTTGCACTTTGCACCGCTTCTTGACTTCTGCCATCTGCCCGACTTGCTGCGGTCCGGGTGCAGGAACCGATTCCTGCCACTTGCCCAGTTGCCCCAATTGGCTTCCGTGATCCCAGGTTTCGCTGACCCGCTGCGTGAAACAAGGAGGAATGGAGGGCAGTGATGCGGAGGAGGCTGAGAGCAGTGGAGGCAGGAGGGGAGCCCACTTGCACAAGTGGTGCATGCGCTTTTTGCGAGGCAAATGTGGCAGAACGATTGTCTCCAACTTGGACGGAGGGTGTTCGGGGCAAAACAGGTCTGTGATACATGCGCAGTGTTCCCATGTATAGCTGGTTTCGTGAACCTGTCTCAGCTCAGCCAGGGACCCATTCGCTGCTTCATGATCTCAGTTCCAGTCCAGAGTTGCGGAAACAGGTATACAGACATCGAAGCAAAATCTCATGATGCAATCAAGCATCGATGTTTGCATACTTCCTGGGCTGAGCCATAAGAGAATTGAACAAGCAGCATGCACCCAAACTCAAGTTCGCGCTGGCCTGTGGAACGTGCCCTAACCATACCTTCGGACAACTCAGTCAAGGATTGAATTCAAGCTGAAGTTCTTGGCTCTGCGTCTCTGCAAATCTGTACCTCTCATCTCCAGAACGAGGTCTTTGTCGAGAAGCCTTGGTTAAGAGAACTAATTGCAGGCTTCCACCCGGCATAGACAGAATCCGTTCACACTGACCTTCAACCCCTTAAGCCCAAACCCCTGAGCCGTAAAGCGGTCTCCACCCTCTCCAGTCAAGGTGCTCCACCTCTGCCTCCGACACACGTGCGATCCGCTCCACAGTTCGCCCTCCAGCTCCAAAGGTCAAGGCAGCAGCATCGTCTGCTGTAATCCTCCTGAGTTGGATTTGGGGGTTCAGGGCTTGAAGGCTTGATGATGCTTGGTGGTTTGACGGTTATTTAGGGCTTCTTGGTCTTAGCGAGCATGCAACACGCAGGCTTGTCAGGGAAGAGTGCAGACTGGGCATGGCTGGTGGATGTCCTTCTGCTAGACAGGTATCACGTGCGCACGGGCTATTCCACATCTTGCGCGCGATTGAACTAGCATAGCCAGCACAGCTGGAGTGGCAAATAGCTGTTTCCTCAGCAGCACAAGTAAAAACCTTCCCATGTCCCTGCTGTGAAACGCATGTACTCCCAGGCGATTGGGATGATGTGTTGATTTGTAAATGCAGAAAGCTGCGGCAATCTAAAGTGTTACAAAAAGACTGATAGATGCAGGGCTTACGAAACTTCCGGGTATGACGCATGAAGGCAATTAGAGGGACACGGGTTGCCAAGCTCGACTACCGAGGATTGCAAACGTTGCTGGTCTGTGCCAGATATGCACTTCTACATTTCCTGTATACTAAATATTTATGCTGTCATGATTGCAGACCAGCAGCATGGACTCTACATCCCAGTCCTTGCGAAGCACATCAATAGCTTGCTCACATGTCTTCAGCTTGCATGCAAGGCTCGTTTGGCTTTCGTTGACTTGGACTGCCATCACGACTGTTGTCTCGTCTTCCTTACAGGGATCGGAAAAAGGGCAGAAACAAACGGAGTGCGAAAAGCTCCCTGGCTTATCGTGCAGCTGAGCAGCGGCGCCGGCTGCCACTGCGGCTGCGATTGTTGTCCTGAACCATTATTGATGTTCTGGGCTTTCCCAGTGGCAGTTGCCGCTGGGGAAGTGTTCGAAAAAAGGACACTTTTGGTATCTCGTTCCATCGGCCGCATAGGCAAAATGAGCACGTTGGCAAGTTTCTACAACAGCACGATGTTTTGGTGCTGTTACATGCCCTTCCCACCGACATGTTCGATAGATAGAGATGCCATACAGATATAGATCCAGATATAGACATAGATACAGATATAGATGTGGATGTAGATCTTGCTATTGCTGTTGCTGTTGCTATTGCCATTGCCGTTGCTATTGCCATTGCTACTGCTAGTGCTAGTGCTATTGATAGTGGTACTGATATGGGTATTCATACTGATATTGACACTGGTACACATATATGTATATATATATATGTGTGTAGTTAAACGAACAAGACACAACC